CTAGAATGTTTTATACTTATAACGGGGCCTTTTTCTTCTTATAGTGGGGTTATTTTACACACTTAACAAGACTATTTCATATTTCTAACGGGACAGTCTTATAGTTATAACGGGGCTGTTTTACATTTTTAGCGGGGTTCTTTCACACAAATAATAGGACTGTTTTTATTTAAAATAAAATTATTTATACATTGTAAAGAACTGTTTTAAACTTATGAAGGGGCTGTTTCCTACCTATAGTTAACAGTTTCATGCCTACAACATTCGCTCATTCATCAAAGTAAATCAGGTTAATTATAAACATATTTTGATTGTTTATATACACACCGCTAGACAATACAAAAACATAACTTCTTACTACTATAAAGTTGTAAGTGCTACAAAAAAAGCTGTCAGCTTTATCTCACATAGCACTCACCGCTCCAAATTGAAGCAACGGGAAACGAGCCGAAAAGTCCAGGATTCACAGTCCTGATACGCTAACCATTAGGTGATGTCCCGCCCGTATATCACATTGATTATATATACAGGATTTCCATAAATTATCGAACCTCTCTCTTAATTGGATAAAATAGGAACCACATCAGATAAATAGTCGTAGTTTTTGGAGTGTGATGGACTGATGTCTGTAGTTTTCCTGCTAGTTTAGGTGAATGGCATTGACTATACGGTGAAATTACCAAGACGATTTCTCCAGAAATGTTGGGGAAGATGAATTGTCGTCTGGACATCTATCGAGTCACGAACAATGTCTGTGTCGAGATGTACAAACAGCACCACCGACCAAAAACAGATCTGAGGTGTCGCTCTGTCGATGTGTACTAACAGCAACACTGACCAAGGACAGATCTGAGGTGTTACTATGTCAAAGTGTACAAACAGCACCACTGACCAAGGACAGATTTGAGGTGTTACTATGTCGAGATGTACAAACAGCACCACCGACCAAGGACAAATCTGAGGTGTTACTATGTCGAGATGTACTAACAGCACCACCGAACAAGGACAAATCTGAGGTGTTACTATGTCGAGGTGTATTAACAGCAACACTGACCAAAGATAGATCTGAGGTGTTGCTATGTTGAGGTGTACTAACACCGCCACTGACCAAGGACAGATCTGAGGTGTTACTATGTCGAGGTGTACTAACAGCAACACTGACCAAAGACAGATCTGAGGTGTTGCTATGTTGAGGTGTACTAACACCGCCACTGACCAAGGACAGATCTGAGGTGTTACTATGTCGAGGTGTACTAACAGCAACACTGACCAAGAACAGATCTGAAGTGTTACTGTGTCGAGGTGTACTAATAGCGCCACTAACCAAGGATAAATGTGAGGTATTACTATGTCGACGTGTACTAACAACAACAATATTTATATAAAATATATAAATGCATTTTAGATTAGGTATAAGAAAGAAAATTTTAGATTTCTTTTATCTAACACACATAGATTGACAATATGAGACTAAACCTATATTCGTGACTGACATTTTTGTTTAGACAACAGTGTCAAGATATCGAAACTGGACTATCAAGAAAATTTCTTGATGGAAGTATAGAAGCAGCATTATTCATAGCCTACCCTTCCTTGGAAGTGATGAAAATATAGGCTACCTCATCCTTCCTCTCCACAAATTGAATACATGTTTGCTCTTCGATTTCGGCAAGGGCGCTGATGATGACTTTCTTCTCATCATCATCTATAAAATGATAAACAAAACACAGTGTTTCTTAGTATAGATTCATCTCGATCCTAATGTTAAACATAATATGTATAAACATTGAAATAAGGGTCGTTGTCAGTGAGTCCTCTGAAACAAAATGATCCTTGGAAGAGCGTCACCGTAATATATCTCGACCCCCCCTCCACCTTTTTTTATCAACTACACCCAAGACAAAATAGTAGAATTTATTTAGTGGCGCGCTGACGAGTTTGAATACTGATAGTCATTTACTGCTTTCTAAAATCCTACTTTACAAAAAAAGTAATTGTTTAATATAATGGTTAATATTCAAGTTTTGCGTTAATAACAACTGGTTTTGAAATGAAAATTTAATAAACTTTCTTATTGAGACCTCCAGTGGCTCAGCGGTAAGTCTGTGGACTTATAACGCTAAGAACTGGGTTTCGATACTCGTGGTGGGCACAGCGCAGATAGTCCGTTGTGCAGGTTTACGCTTAACTGGAAACAAAGAAACAAACTTTCTTAGTGACGAGAAATTTTGATATAAAAACCTAATGATGACTTTTGTTGATAAAAAATAAAGTCTTCAAGTAAATTTTGTATTGTCAAGAAGTTTTGAAGTAAAATTCTTGAGGCATAATTATATAATTTATCCGTCCTTATAGTTAAACATAAACAAAAAAAGATGTTGTTATCGTTACAGTCAAAGAACTAAAGCAGCTATACAGACATTAGTGTGGTGTGTTTATGCATTACAAATATTGCAACTATAACTACAAAACATAGCATTATTTTCTAAAGATATAAGTTTTATTAAACTTATGTGGGGTGTAAAACTTTACATTCTCTCGTTATACTAAAACGATTTTCGAGCCTCCCAAACCGTGTCGTTACACTCCGAATCGCCATTTCCAGTCATGCTCTATTTGATGATCGTACTTTTTGACAACAGTCTTACAGCGTAGTTTCCACTGCAAAAAGGCTCGTTCGTACGTATTTCATGTCCACAGCCCACCACCCTTTCCCATAGGCGTTCAATAATTTGTCGAATATAGAAGGACGACCGTTTCCCAACGCCTATTTCAATAGTCTGATCGATCGCACAGAAATCTATAGGCAACTGGAACTTAATTTGTATATATTAGTATGGAATAGCATGCACGATAACCGTTTACTTCTACAGTTACTTGAGCTATGCGACGATTGAACGAAGGTATGATATATCTTGGTTCGCCTCGTTTCCAGACAGAGATCTATCTTGATCATGTTGCACACTGTTGCCTGGGCACTTGGACAACGTTCACCATCTACGTTTGTGTGCATGAATTCTCACCTGTTACAAGACGTCGCTCTTTGATTACCTCGGCTGGTGTACGACTTGTTGCAGGTCTTTTTCTGGAGGTTCCTGGTTCCTAAGTTTATCCACATCCCTTTGTTTCCTAATGCCAGTAAATACAAGTGATACCCCCATCTTGGAAATTCTAAATCTCCGATCTAAACACATCTTTACGATCTGCGCTTATGAACATTTTCCCTCAAATAGGCTGTTACATGCCCTTCCCCAAAGGCAACCAATGTTTGATGGCATCACACTGCCTACCAAACACAAAGCAATGTCAAAATGTTGTTCTGATACATGGTGTTCCATCGCGACTTTATATCACGTGACTTGTTGATTTACATGCTAAAAACCGTTTTAATATAACGTACCCATCCTTCTTTGTAAAATACTTGTAAGAATTAAGCCTGACTAACTTTACTAATTTCTTATTCATGTTATAACGTTAAGTCTCGAGTAAACTTTAAATGTATACAGACAGTAGAACTTTTATGGTAGATCGCTGACGAGTTTGAATACTGAAAATGATAAAATACAATTTTCCCTCTAGAATATTTTAAAACTTTTAGTTTTTCAATAGTTTTGTCATGAATGATGTCAGTCATGAAAGTTTTGGATTAATCAAAGTTTGTTTGTAGTTAAGCGCAAAGCTATACAATAGGCTATCTGTGCTCTGCCCACCACGGGTATCGAAACCCGGTTTCTAGCGTTGTATGTTCGCACACATACCGCTGTGCCACTAGAGGGCATTAATAAAAGTAAGAAAGAAGTACTTAATTCCATATTTAGATGAAGAAAGAAATTGGATTTTTTTTCAACTTGAGCAGCACTAATGGCATACAGTAAGTTCGAGGGTTTAGAACTCTATAAGTCGGGGTCCGAAACCGTGGTGGGCACATTGCACATAGCCCGTTGTGTAGTTTTGCAATTACAACATCATAGAAATTATAAAAAAGACTGCCAGTCAGTAGCACATGCCGTCACAAAGGAGTTGTTCGGATCTTTGAACCGAGTAATGAGAGTGACTGCCACTTTTATAACATGCCTACAGCTGAAAGTATTCAGCGTCATCAAATCTCAGACCTTCAACCGTTATATTCGCAGCCCGACATGTCAACCATTTGGTCACTCCCAACCATAGAAGTACCCAAGAATGTAAAAACACTTATAGTAGAATATTATGACTATGGACAAAAGCTGCAATATTGCTAACTTAACAACAGAAGCAAAGGTTAAATTCAATACCACCAGTGTGTTGAAGTCCTTTATTGTATACATGTTCTCTTCTAAGATCTAAAATAACTTTTACAAATTTTATATCTCTTCTTAGTATGTTTCAATGTGATTATAATAAATACACCTGTCCCCCAGCGGGACAGGAGCAATTATATGAACTTACCCCACTTAAATCCAGGGTTTGATTCCTCGTGACAGACTCAGCAGATAGCCCAATGGGGCCTTGCTCTAAAACAAAACAAACAATAAATACACTTACCCCCCCCCCAGTAGCACAGCGGCATGTCTGCGAACGTACAACGCTAGAATCCGGGTTTCGATACCCGTGGTGGACAGAGCACAGATAACCCATTGTGTAGCTTTGTGCTTAGTTACAAACAAACAAACACTTACCGTAAACTGAATCAATCGTATAAAGAACGATACCGTTGGACCACTTTGAGCGTTCATCTTTAACCGCTAGTCTGTCCTATAATATAACAGAATATTTGACTTTTATGAAAGTCGAAATTTATATGATGCATAAAAACCAAAACAACAGATGTTTGATTATTACTTAATGCGCTGACAAACTTATTTGTTAGTATGATAACCATATATCTATTTCAGCTGTCAGGGAAATAATGAATTATAAGAGATCCAGTCTTCTGAAATTCTCAGCTTGTGGGTGGAAAGTGACTCAGTTTGGATTTAGTACTTTATGAAAAGTTGTGAGGAGACAGTGAATCAATTTCAATTTGATACAATATTAATGTTATTTTTTAAGACTTCAACCTGTAGAGAGATAGAGACTGGAGTTAGATTTGGTGCATAATTAAAATTATTTCTTAACCTGTACGTTTATTGCATCCGATCAATATAAAGTTTTTCGTAAATCTGATTTTTATCTGGAAATTATAACATCAATTTCTTGGAGCCAAAAAATAAAAAATAATGTAGAGTTTAGTTTCATAAATCACGTTTAAGCTTCAATAAATGTGCCCTGAAAGAACAGGGCATTTCATTAATCATCAGTGTGGTTTAATTTAGATGTTTATATATATATCAAGATATTAACCCATTTTCATACGTTTCGATTTCTCCTGTTTGTTTGTTTTTTTTGGGGGGGGGAGCATATCAAACACCCATATTTGGATACAATCAGTAAATGTAGATTAAAAAGAGGGTTTCGCACATTTTTCTCAAACAATCTGGTGGGTCATTGTTAATTACAAACTGAGATAAGTTCCAGAAGTGTCGTATCAGGTTTTGGGAAGCTTTATTTATCATTTGATGTGGGCCAAGACGTTTTATCTCCTACTAGGTAAAGTATTTTCATTCTTCAGTAAATAAAAAGTTTAAATGAAAGGAGATGAGCTTGCCAAATATGCTTACAAATATTAAAAACCTACTGAACCTGTATATCACTAAAGCTATTCGTAAAGTGTGTGTCGAATAACAGCTGTATAAAACCTAAAACTTGCTATTAATTATTAAGATTTCCTTACTGGTTATGATTACTTATCTATGAACGATTTATTACTCTTGTAACAGTTGACTTCTTCTATTATACACTTAAAAAGATTTTGAAGTCAGATATGTCCATTTATTCACGTTATGAAGATACCAAGCAATAACATGGAGTTTAAATAATTCATTAAAAAATCACGCATTGATGACTTATCTCTAATCAAAGTCGTTGCATCTGATCATTTCAATAATGAACAATGAATAACAATATTCAACGACAGAAGAGGCTACGAGTAAATATATATATATACAATCAAATTCTTTGCTTCTGATTGTTTCAATACTTAACAATGAAAAACGAACATTATTCATTGCTAAAAGATGATATGAATAAATAGTAGTTATCCCTAACTACGAAGTAATTGTTACTTTATATTTCAATATTTAACAATGACGAAAATTATACAACAGTAGAATACATTACGAATAAATACTCATCTCTAATCAAAGCGTTTGTTTGCAAAGTTTTTAACATTTAACAAGGAAGAATAATATTGAAAGACAGAAGATGATACAAATAAATACTTAGAAAATGATCACATGTTACACATGTGTTAAAAGATACAAACTTACCCTCACTGCGACACCTTTTGGAACCATAATGTCCCCCTGTATCAGGTCTATACATAGAAAAGTAGATCAAAATTATATAACTAGCACAGTGTACAAAAAATAACATTTAATACTGAAGTATTACTTAACAACTAAACAAGATACGTGATCGTAAAAAAAGTAACTTGTTATTATATAATTGTATCAAAATGAAAGTTCACATAAATTTCAAACCTTAAAGAACCTTTACGTTTTTCTATGTAACAGTTGTTTTCTGTCAGTTTATAACATGTTTATTATTATAACTCCGAGGATAAAAGGATGAAATTACCTTCTCCCGTTAGCGCCCACAGAAATATTTTCGGGGGGGGGGGCAAAAGATGGATGTAGGGATCAGCTTGTACAGTGTAAGCCAACAGACTGAAATAATACGTGTTATGTGTGCTTCAACGCAAACGCAAATTTACAGTTTGAATGAAATTACTAAAAAGATTTAATTCACTACGATGTCAAGTTTACATTATAATCCGTGCAATTTTTTTGTGAAATGCAAGGGGTCAAATGCCCCCTCTTGTCCCTTACTGCGGTCGCCCATGCCACCTCCCCACATAGATATTAATGGATAAAAGAAACTGTCAGAAACGGATTTAAGTCAATTTTTATGGTTGTTAACATGTGTTTACTACGATCCTTGTCTCAGTTACATAAGCCGTTAAAAAGTACTCTTTATCAAATTAACAGAAATAATACCTTTCCAAGAAACGTTTAGTCACTACATTCCATTTTCAACTAAAAACCTGGCTATTATAAATCGATTACTCACGGCCGTAAGGAGTTTCCTTGTCTTCCTGATAAAGAGCATCAAACTTCGAACACAAAACCACCTCCAATACAAAAACACCCCAAAGCAACGTTCCAAACGCCATGTTGTTTAGCATCAAGAAGCGAACTTTTCTGTTGCTTGAGCCCAACGAGGGAACGATATCCCTGAGAAAACCTGATAAGATATCTACGTAAATTCTGTAGATTAACACGTGTTGTTGATGTGTGTTTGTTTTAACTATAGTTCTTCGTTACACAATTACGCCGTTTTATATCTTATTGATAATCACTAAGAAAACATATGCTACTCTCGTTTTTTTTTACTCGTGCTTTGAAATTACTGCTGAGAATTAGCAGAAGTACAGATTAGATGAACTTGTACAAAATGTCGGGTCTGTGGTTTTAGTTACCTAAGATAGGGTGAAAAAAGTCAGAAAGTCAGACGAAGACGAAGACCATTTCTTCATGTACAACTTACTTATAATCTTACAGCAATACAAACTCATCATAAAATGTAACATTTAAAGATATTAGTAAGTAATTTCAGGTGCATATTTTCTCACCATTATGATGTTTATAGTATTGGTCTTTTATCAGTAGCATAAACAGTGTCGCATCAGTCGGTGATGTTAATTACTGATTAAACAGATCTCCATACTCAAGGCAACTAATTCATCTAATATCTTTACACAATATGCATATATATATTTCCTGATGTGAGGTGAACTATACAAATAGCTGTCAGTAAATATTTGGGGTTTCAAATTTGCAGATTAAGATAGTTGCGGGGTTCAAATGCCCCTTCACGATATACAGAGGCCGTGATGTACCGATCATACTCCTCCGTTATCCACAATTACTTCTATAGCTACCCCAAGGAGGATCCGTACCCGTTACCTAACCTGCCTGTGGTACCTGAGCATGTATTCCAAGTTTGGTTCTGCTATTTTGAAAGTGGGCGTATGAACAAAGTTTCAAACATGTCGCCACAAGAATCCACAAAAACCCTAACAATCCTGGATGTAACCTATAAAACCTTTCAAACTGCATAGTTCGAACTCAGGGTAACGTGTGATTCCAAAGGAAACTTCTATTCTACCAGGAAAAGAACATAAAATGTTTAAACGAAAGAATATTTGAGATTTATATAAGATAAAAATAAACACCTTCTTTAACCTACCAACAAAGTTTGGATGTTCTTATCCATGCAGAGAAGCTCAAACAACCATGAGGCATAAAAATCGGATGTTCCTGTGTATGCAGAGAAGCTCAGTCCACTATGAGACATAAAGATTGGATGTTCTTATCCATGCAGAGAAGCTCAAACTACCATGAATCATGGAGTTTGGATGTTCCTGTTCATGCAGAGAAGCTCAGTCCACTATGAGACATAAAGATTGGATGTTCTTATCCATGCAGAGAAGCTCAAACCACCATGAATCATGGAGTTGGATGTTCTTATCCATGCAGAGAAGCTCAGTCCACTATGAGACATAAAGATTGGATGTTCTTATCCATGCAGAGAAGCTCAAACTACCATGAATCATGGAGTTTGGATGTTCCTGTTCATGCAGAGAAGCTCAGTCCACTATGAGACATAAAGATTGGATGTTCTTATCTATGCAGAGAAGCTCAAACTACCATGAATCATGGAGTTTGGATATTTCTGTCAATGCAGAGAAAATCAGACCACCACGAGGCACGGAGTTTGGATGTTCATATCCATTTAGAAAAGCTCAGTTAATGAATTCAAACCAGGTGAAACTTCCTAAATCAAGCATATTATGAAAGAAGAAGAAGAAAAGAAAGAAACGAAAAATATATTAAGTGTTTTGTACTTGCTTGCCGAAAACTATGAACTTTTTATTTTTTAAATTTATGAATAATCTTATTTCCTCGGGAATCAAGTTTTAGACTTTGTGCTAAGAATGACATTTAGTGATCATAGTTAAAGATATGTTTTGTTCACGTAACAATTGTCAAATATAATTTCTTACGCAGTACTTAATTTCTCGCTCGGCTGCTTTGTGAATGGTTATTTGACAGACGTAGTCAGTTATATTATTACAATCCCAAATAGTATTCACAGCCTATCAGTTTTTATAATCATTTTTATGTGTTTTGCAAAACCAAATAATTTATTTGCCAATTTATGGATAAGGCAAAGTGGTTAGAAAATAGTTTGTAGTTTCGTTAGGTTAGTTGATACTTTCACTACTAGATGGCAATATGTTCCGAAAAACGTGTTTATCTATCTATCTATATACATACTTATAAAGTTAAAGAAAATAATGAAACAAGTAAGCTTTAAAAGAATGAGATGGGAACGAATGATAATAGCCGTTTTCAGATTTCTTACATTTTATAAGCAACGTATTACTCTCTTCTGTAGATTCAAACTGGTCATGAAAGTAACAACTCTTTGACTTAAGAAAATTTTAAGAACATTTAAAATAGATGTAAACTATTGTTTAACTTTTTTTTACGAAATGGATAGTGCCATATTTATTTCAATGCAAATTATAAAGAAAACCCACTAATATATAGATCATATAAGAACATGAAAAAAAGAGAACACTACGCAGTAAATATAACAAAGTCATGTGTTAATTTATGTTGTAAAACTGGTGGGTTGTTCAGTCGCTATTATTGATGACGTGTATTGAAACATCGTATTATTGATGACGTGTATTGAAACAGTGTCAAATAGTAAACACGGAAGATGTTAAACATTTTCAATATATATAATTTTGTCAACTATTAAACATTCTTAATAAATGTAGTGAGTAGAAGGTACTAACACTTGTAAGAAATCCATATATACCGATAGGAATACTTTATATTTTGTTAAATACGTGAACAAACAAGCAGACTGTAAGATGCTGCCTTCTTATACTGCACATACTGTAAGTGAAAATGCGAATTTATTACCTTTAAAAGTATACATATATGAGTTTTTTTCAGGCAGATAAATATTTCATATTTTGCTATTTAATAAGCAGTTTCGATCTGTTCATGGTGTTTAGTAGATGACTGCTTCTGTATTGGCTTTATAAGCTTCTCAAACTATATGATCACTCTAGAAACTTCAGATCCTGTTCTCACGGGGATTTCTGTGAGCACAAAAACACCGACATTTTCCTTCACTAATACATCATTTTGTGTATGTGTCTGGTGTATTAAAATAGTGGAGATTTGGCTGTGCCCTGTGGATCACAAAGTTACTGCTGATACACCGTGAAGATATATCTGGATGTTTTCTTGAAATATGGCCACATCACGGAGAAGAACCGGTAGACACCACGTTTAGTGAGCATGGTCCATGTACAAATAAATATCTCCTTCTCTGATGGAAGGTACAAATACCAGCACAAGCAGATAAAGCTGGAGTGTGATGTTCTAGTGCAGAAACTGTGGACTCTCATCCATTCATTTGACAATTTAGTTATCAAACGTGAGGATACGTTCTTCAAGCATACAGCCGCGGTATACATCATAAGTTTTACTTAGAAGTAGATGAATGTTGCACGCAGTTATCTGGTGAGCATGCCTTGTACGTTCAAGTTACTGATGAGCATGCCTTGTACGTCACAGTTATTGATGAGCATGCCTTGTACGCCACAGTTAACCTGGTGGGCATGCCTTGTACGTCACAGTTACTGATGAGCATGCTTTGTACGTCACAATTACCTGGTGAGCATGCTTGTTACGTCACAGTTACTGAAGAGCATGTCTTAGGCGTTACAGTTACTAGTGAGCATACCTTGTATGTTACAGTTACCGATGAGCATGCCTTGTGCGTCACAGTTACTGGTGAGCATACCTTGTACGTCACAGTTACTGGTGAGCATACCTTGTACGTCACAGTTACCTGGTGAGCATACCTTGTACGTGTTACATATTATACTTGTTGAGTCTGCGACTCCTGATAAAGCAGTCTGAGCTGGGTTTATGGCACTGGTCCAGCTACTAACTGCCAGCCAGTCTTCTATGCACAAAGCGATCTATAATTTTTGAGCTGGTGGACTAGAAAAGTTTGTGTGTTTGTGTTTTTCTTATAGCAAAGTCACATTGGGCTATCTGCTGTGTCCACCGAGGGAAATCGAGCCCCTGATTTTAGTGTTGTAAATCCGTAGACTTACCGCTGTCACATCGGGGGACGACTAGAAAAGAAGCAGATAACTAATCAACATCACACACCACAAATGACTGGACTACTCTTGCCTGACCAAATAGTAACATTTGATCGCCACCCTTATAGCACCCCAAAAACGGGACACGTTTCTACGGCAACGGAACGCGTAACATGAATTCCCAGTCCGGGCACGCTAACCAGTGAGCTACGCCTTATACAAATTCAGAAAGTAATATATTTAATTGTCTACATGTCCGTCGAAAAAAAATTTTTTTTTGGAAATAAATATTTTTGGTCAACTTGTATTCATTGCGATGATGGGATTAAACTCAAACTTCCATTTTATGTCGCTACTCCTAAATCCTCATATGATCATCTTTCGCAATCCTTAGTCCCAAAAATTATAAGTTTTCGTCACGAATTAAAATTAATTTCTAAATTGTGAACCTGTTTTTACATAGAATTACGCATATATTATAGTTAATGTAAAAAAAACAACAACAAAAAACAAAGGAGTTGTGGGTGTGTTGTGTTTGTAGTTAAATACAAAGCTACAAAATCTGTGCTCTGCCCACCATGTGTATCGAAACCAGGTTTCTAGCGTATTAAGTCCGCAGACATACCGCGGTGCCACTGAGTGGTAAATCCTTAAGGAAACACATCTGCTGGGTATGATCGCTCAACCAGTGGATTATCTAGCATAATAAAAGGTTTATCTGCGTAATATATTTATGTTCATTGGTTTTAAACCTGTAACGGTTTTTCCCATTTAATTTTTATATAACTTTAATGGATAACAATTTTTCCCACACGCTGAAGTATCTAATTGTGTGAGGAAGGCGAGTTTGTTCATTTCCCGAGGAAATGAAAGACATTTCCAGACGAGGTGTTTCCGGCATGAAATACGGCCTGAATATCGACATTGCATTACAACTACAAATTGAATATAAATCCAGGAATGCATTAGACGCCGCAAACTGCTATAAACTGTTATATTAAAAAGTCTGTAT